GCAAATTCTGGCATTGCATATTTCACGGGGCAATATTTTGTTACCAGCTTATGAGATGGTAACAAAATTTACCGATTACAAGAGTACACAGAATGCGAAAAGGGTTTAAAAATTGACAGGAACTTTATTTACCGGTTACAAACTTTTTATTACCAGCGCAGAATAGACCTGCTAGTGTTATTCATTAACATGTCTACATTAAAATCACCACAGATGAGGACATGCACATAGCTAACAGACAGCTCAGATATTTTAGTAAAAAGCGAAGTGAAATCATTGCTTTTATGTGGGTTATAGACACAAACAATAAGACACTTTTGAACACATTTGATATTTGGAAGCTAGTGTATATAGTTCTGGAAACGTAGAATGATGCATTTTCCAAAACTGCAATGGATCCTGCTTACGATCGAAATAAGGCATTTTAAGATATTGTTTTATTATTAAAATAGCGCTAGCTGTCGGTCGTTATAGCAGCAACTTTCTGGTCGAAATGACCCCACAGCCCATTCGAATCTTTCGTAGTATCGGTAGAACTTGCTGTGGAAATAGTTGGCAATTGATCGTCCTCAGAAACACTTTGATTCTCAATTAATCTGCTTAATTCATCGGTGATCCACTGCTGAGCATTATCGGCGTTCTCTCCATTACCGAACGCAGCTTTCTTAAACCTGGGGTCTAAAAATGTAGCTTTTGCTACGGCTTTTGTAGTTTTTAGAAAACCAAGTATTCTAAAATTACTTCCAGAAGATTTAGTTTTAACTGCTTTCCGACGTCTGTTGTGGGGCTTTTATTTTTTATTTCGATTTGAAGTCCTCGGATAAGAGGGGTGATACGCGACATCGTTGAATATGTTTCGCCTGACAAATCTTCAGTTAAAATTAGGACTGGTTTAAAAATTTGGATGCAGTCATCCACGGCCTCCCACTTAAAGCCGTCTAAATTTCTTGGTGCATTGACTAAAGAAGAAAGAGTTGCTGCCAGAGGCAATTTCAATTTACGTAGCCTTTCCAGCATAACGACTGTAGAGTTCCACCGAGTGGGTACATCTGGTTTAAGTTTAAGCTCATTTATCCCCATCTGTTGTTGGAGCTCCCTCAACTTGTATGCTGCCACATTGCTCTGTTTAAGGTAAGTCACTATAGACCTACATTTAGATAGTAAATTGTCCAGGTTCGGATTGTACTTAATACTATCCTGAACTGATAAATTAAGCGTGTGAGCTACGCAAGGATGATGATTTTTACGAAGGTGTTCTAAAACAGCTTTTTTCATGTTTGCCACATTGTCCGTTACAACTGTAACGATTTTGTCAGTAATTTGCCATTTTGATAGAATATCTAAAATCGCTTGGCCGATATTAATGGTGGAATGGTCAGTTTTGACTTCTTTGGTTGAAAAAGCTAAAGATCTGGTTTTGAAGTCGTAAATGAAATGTGCGGTGATAGTTATATAACATCGATTGCTGTCTGAAGACCACAAGTCGGTTGTTAAAGATATATAGTAGGATTTCTCTAGCATGCTTCTGAAATCTGAAATCATGGGATCATATACTTCTCCTAACATACTTTCTGATAATACTTTACGGAATGGAAGTTTGTGACGTGGTATATATTTTATTGTAAAATAATTGAACCCACGGTTTTCAACCATGCTTAAAGGTTGACGGTCGACGGCAATCAAGCGCATCACATGCAGGAAAATGTTGGGGCAGAACTTGTAGGTTCAAGTGCATGAGACTGAGTGGTAAGCACAACAATTTCGTTCGGAGTTTGCTGTTCCTGAAATTCTGAAAGTTGAATGCGATGCTTCCTTTTGAGGTGGTCATGCAAATTGGTTGTGTTTCCAAATTTGTAGCTCGTATTGCACAATTTGCATTTAGCCGATGTTACCTTGCCACCATCCGAAATTTTATTAAAAAATTCCCAGACTATAGATTTTTTAAAACAGCGAGGCATTTTAAATTTCCGAAAAATACTTTTAACATTTCAATTTGTCTGCGCTATGTAAATATATTCAAAATAACTGCACTCTCAACATCGTCAATTTTGCATACATACCTGCACAAATCTACGAAATCTATTGATGACACGACGTCGCCAGATAAGTCGGTCGACTCGAAATAGTCGAAAAACATCTCCATTGTAGAGTCGGGCAGCGAGTCGATTATTGACTCGATTGTAATTTTGCAAGGATGGCGATTCTCTCGATCGTTTAAACATCTCGGACTCGCCCATCACTAAAAGTTGGTACCGGCAATATTGTGCTAAATAAATACTTTTCTTTGGGACATGAAAATCCTAAAGCGCCAGCCGTCGAATATTCCGGCAATATCGAAGACAATTATTCAATACGGAGGGAAAGAGGCTCAGAAATATCAGTCGAAGATTATAATTTGTATAAAAATACTGGACATGAAAATGAGGGATAATCTGTGTTAAAAAAAGCACAAAAGATAAAATCGAAGAAACCCCTTTTTTTAAATTAATACAAGCTTTGCGTTTAGAACAGACGTATTTAACAGCAGAAATAAGAATGGAAAGTGGTAGTTATGCTGTATACCTTAACGAAATCTAATCCTTGGTGAAAAAGTGTACTTGTGGATAGTTGCTCAAGGACATATGTACATATGTAGGCATAGGAAAATTTGCGTAAAAAAAAGCCGTCCACATGGCCAAAAAAGCAGAAAGATCGCGTGTGTCGGCCGTATTAGTATTTTTCACAAGAGCTCGCAATCTTCTCTCTATCACTCTTGGATGGTGGATGAAATTAATTCCTTTTATTCACATATTATTTTTTTATTCATTATTTAATACATTTTAGTATAATTAATTATATAATACATTTTAGTATAAAATTGTCCGCCCCTCGGCAACAGTGAAGTTTACGAGTTCGTTTGCGCATCAAACTTCCTCGTAATTTTACGACGGTCTCGTAAATAGAGCTCCATATATATTTTGACAGGCTCGTAAATTTACGAGGTTCACGAGGCTTTTACAAGTTTAAGGGTAGACCCCTAATGAAATCTTAGTTGTAAATATTTCATGATTTAAAAAATAAAATGATTGCCCAGTTACACAGCTTTGGTACATACATGTGTGCTCACAATGCGGCCTGCCAAAATTAGATTTGACTTAAATATGGATGCGTACTTGGACATTCAAACGAGTGAGAGTTACGCACAACATTGCGCCGTCAGTGGTACCGCTACTTTGGCTTTGAAGATTTTGATAATTCTCATTCTTGCCAAAAACCGGGACATTTTTCGTTCCGGCATGTGTTGAACCGGGACCGGGACATAGCTCTAAAATCCAGGACAGTCCCGCCGAAAACGGGACGGTTGGCAACCGTGGGTGAAGTACTGAAATTAGGTACGGATGTAGTATATAAAATGAGTTCCATGCTCATGTAGAAAACTGAAGGTTATTGGAATAATGGGCGTGGCAGCTATTCTATCTATATCTATTACTAGTATTATAAATGCGAATGTTTGTATGTTTGTTACTCAATCACGCAAAAGGCCTGAACGGATTAGAATATTTGGCTCTAGATAGCTGTACTAGGGACTGCCCTATTCGAATATATGGTCCGGTTTTCTTGAAATTGCAAGTACGCGTATTACAGATATAAAGAGAAGCCAACCTACGAAAAACCGACACGACAGGTGGTATCGAAGTAGAGTTATTTCAACTTAAAGTTCATTTAGTACAATTTTTTTTTTAATTAGGAACCATTTGCTGGCGTGCTTCTTAGCCGATTGAATGATTGTTTTACAGTTCGAAAGGTGTTTTAAGGCGCCGCAAAGCAAGCGGGTATTGGCTAGTGTAATATCTTATTAATATTATAAATGTGAAAGTTTGTATGGGACATCATCACGCGGAAACGACTGAACGGATTTGCATGAAATTTGGTACGCAGATAGCTTATGGGCCAGATTGGTTCATAGGCTATTTTTAAGAGTTGCCACCTGTTAAAAAAGTTTAATTTATTTAATATGCGGGAACGACTGAATGGATTTGCATGAAAATTTGCACACAGATAGCTTATAACCTAGATTGGAAAATAGGCTACTTTTCTTAAGAGTTGCCACCTGTTAAAAAAGTTTCATTAAATTAATACGCGGAAACGACTGAATGGCATGAAATTTTGCAAGCAGAGAGCTTATGACCTACAGTGGAAAATAGGCGAATTTTTTGAAAGAGTTGCCACCTGTTAAAAAAGCTTATTTAAATTAACACGTGGAAACGACTAAACGGATTTGCATGAAATTTTGCACACAGATAGCTTATGACCTAGGTTAGAAAGTTAAGAGTTGCCACCTGTTAGAAATGTTTAATTTAATAAATACGCGGAAATTAGTGAACGGATTTGCATGGAAGTTTTCACACAGATAGCTTATGAGCTTGCACAGAGCCAAATAATCCTCATAAAAATAAGAAGATTGTCTCTTTGAACAGCTTCGAGACCCAAAAAGAGGACAGAAGTCAGAGACGAAGATATTTCCATAGAGATTTCTTCTTATTTTTGGGAGGTAAATCTTTTTAATTTTATTTAAAAGTATACCCTCTTACAATAAATAGAAAACTTCTTACTCAATTTTTCGAAGACATTTCCATAGAGATTTCTTCTTATTTTTGGGAGGTAAATCTTTTTAATTTTATTTAAAAGTGTACCTTCTTACAATAAATAGAAAACTTCTTACTCAATTTTTCTTTACGCATTATTGTTGTCGACTGTGAACCGCTAATTCAGTTTACATTTGTATATACATACATATTCATAAACTATAGATGCTCTCAGAGTGCGAGACAAGTGTGGAAAGAAAACACATATGCATATACACATATGTATGCACAAGCATAAGCATGTCAACGTCGCCAATTCTAACTGTATTTTTCGTTTAACAATTTTGAATGTTGAATAGGTATAATGCATTTGCAATTTATTCAGTTGTAAAGTGAGTGTTGACCGGCGCGTGTAAATTTAACATATATTTGGAAATGGATAACTTTAATTTTGAAGAAAATTGCTACGCTTCTGGCGATGTTCCTCAAATCGAAGCCTTGAGCATTTTTAAATCGTGGGAGCTAAGCGAGGAAATTTTACCGATTCTCATGGACTATGGCCTCAAATCCACGCTTATTTTAAAAAAATTTGAGTTTAAAGATATCGACGATTTGTTCGATAAACTTCCTCCAAGATTTTTTGGTGAAAAGGTCAAATTTAAAGCAGGTTTAAAAGAATGGCGAAAGAACATGGTAAGTGCATCATAATATAAAAAATGTGTATGTATCTTAACGCATGCAATTTTTAGAATGTGCCATTTGAGTGTGATGAAAGCAGTAAAATTTTGGAATTGTTAGAGAAAATTTCGAACGACTTGAATGCTGTTAAAAATTCGAGAGAGTCTTCGCCTTTACCTCAGTCGTCATGTGGTTGCATAGACAGTGGGAGCTTAATTGAACTTTTAAAAAGTACCGTAAAAGGCCAGCTTATACTCCAGTATCAGGAAGAAAAAGGTTTCCTGGATGCCAAACACCAAAACACATTGTGCCAATGCATTATTGAAAAATATATTGGAAGCCAAAAAAAATTGACGTATGGAGAAATGCAGAGGTGGGCCACCTCTATATGCGCTGTATTCCCCAAAGAAAGGCCGGTAAGTTGTAAGAAATTATTGGAACCACTCTAATCTACATACGTACATAATCATGCAGTTAGCACACTTTTTTTTAGTATATTTGCAGTAATTTACACACACTTATTTTTTTTTTCAAGTATAGTTGATTTTCTAGAATAAACCAAATAGAGTGAAAATTAAATTCTTAGCGAAGGGTTACACTCAAATTCTAGGAGCTACAAAACTGCATATTTTTATAAAAATTGACGAAATAAATGTATCATATAAAACATTGCAAATATACTAAACAAAAGTCTGCTAACTCCGTACCAACAAACTCCTTCAGTTAATTTATTTTTTATCTAGGAAACATACTTTCTAGCTAGAAAGTACGGAAAGAAAAATCCCACAGGAAAGTTGTTTTCTCGATGGGTCAATTCAGATAAAGGCAACTATAATTTTCCGGAAAATTCTAATACCCAAGATCTACAAGCAATTTCGGCCAGCGGTAAAAATATATTTATTATCTGTATTTACATTGTATACTTATTTCATAATGTTTAGATGACTACGATGCATATTACGAAAAGAAGTGCTGGCTGCAAAATAATTGCACTCCATGGGAAAAAGTTCTGGCTTACTGGGGAGAGACTTCCGGTCAAAGAATTAAAGATATGCATGATGCCACTTCTCTGATCTGTATTTTTAATGAATGGCCACGTTACAAAGATTTTCATGGTTATGAACTTGTAAGTTACTATAATTTAAAGTTCTTAATTTTTTCAAGTCGCAAATCACACAATATTTTAAATCAATTTTCCATAGGTGGAGATAGACTTTGAAACGCTTCATCCTGGAAAGGGAAATATGATCTTTTTAAAGCTGGAGACATTTTACAAGCAAATTTTTAAAATTTTCAATACAGATATTAAAGACCACACTTCGAGGGAACTCTTTTTAAAGTATTTGCATATCGACAACATTTCGAAAGGTAAAGCTATTTATCAAAACACATTATGAAATAATATAAGGTAAACCAGGCAATTTCATATACGGCTAGAAATTCGCTATTTGTTATATATGTACACTAGCCGATGCAAGCAGACTTGTTTTTCATTTAACAGTTTTAAATTTTTTTATTACCAATCCTTAGTTGTGTTTCAATAAAAAGTAGCCCAGAACGTATCAGAAATATATGATATTATAAATTTCAAAACATTAGATGGCCCACCTGTTCACTTTTATTGGCTTAATAATGGTCTCAAAGTTTTAAGGAAAAAAAAGTATTGGTAATTTAATTTTTTTTTTAATTCTGAGTAAAATTTAATATGTAAATTTGAATGTATAAAAATAATTCTAATACATTTATTTAAGTTTATTTTTTAACACTGCCTTTGTACTTATATGTATATAATATATATGTATGTATGTAAAAGTTGAATACTTACATATAAAGAATGAATGTGTTTTTATTTGCAGTCGTATTTTACAAATAAAGAATATTTGTTTATAATCAAACACGAGTTTTAATAAATTCAAGAAGATTACCAAATAAAAATAAGGAGATGACCTTTTTAGTAAACTCAATAAGAAAACTTAATAAAAATAAGAAGATTATCTTTTTAATAACTTCAATGAGATAACCTTATTAAAATTAGAAGATTAACTTTTTAATAAATTTAATGAGATAACCTAATAAAAATAAGAAGAACGCCTTATTTATTAATTCAAGGAGATATCCACATATATATTCGAAGATTTCTTCTTGATTTTATTAAAAAGACTATCCCACCTAAAGTAAGTAGGGATTCTTCTTAAAGAAAAACTATAGAGATATCTTCTTACTTTTGTTCTATTTTATTAGGTGGTTTTCGCTCTGTGTGGTTGAAAAATACGCTAATTTTTTTAAGAGTTACCACCTGCTAAAAAAGTTTAATTAAATTAATACGCGGAAAAGTCTGAACGGATTTGCATGCAATTTTGCAAGCAGATAGCTTATGACCTACAGTGGAAAATATGCTAATCTTTTGGACGAGTTGCCACCTGTTAAAAAAGTTTTAATGAAATTAATACGCGGAAACGACTAAACAGATTTGCATGACATATCGCACAGAGATAGCTTATGACCTATGTTGGAAAATAGGCTACTATTTTAAGTGTTATCACGTATTAAGAAAGTTTAATTAAATTAATACGCGTAAATGACTGAACTGATTTGCATGAAAGTTTGCACACAGATAGCTTATGACCTAGACTGGAAAATAGGCTACTTTTTTAAGAATTGCCACCTGTTTGAAAATGAAATTTTGTTCAAAGATGGTTTATGACCTGGAT